GAACCACTAGTAAATCTGCAGATTGAGAACAAAGTTGAAGTTGAGCTCCTTCTGTTATTCTAACAACAATATATGGAAAGTTATAACAGTATTTGTTGCACCAGTCGGATAACAGACGCAGCAGTTAGTCAAATCTATAACCATTGTTCTTTATGATCAAGTTGGTCTTAAAATGTTTATATGCTCGTATTAGAGCAATCTATGATAAACCAACCGCAAGATAAAAAGTGAATGGCTTCCTGACGGACCGATTTGAACTCAGGTGATTCGGCAGAAGAGGATTCAAAGGGGATTATGATAAATGAAAGAGAACAAAAGATTGGATTATTTGCAGACGATATGAGGCTGTTTCTAGGAGATATTAACACTTCCCTTCCCTAACTGGTTTATCATATTAGTAATTATAACGTACATGCTGGATACAAGTTCAATATTTCTAAAATACTACCTTTCAATCATGGCCCCTCAAACGAAACTGCACGTAAACATGATATAAAAAGGAATAAAATGAAATACCTCGGAGTATTTCTGTCTAAAGACCTTTCACAACTATATCATTTTAACTACAATCCAATAAACCAAAATATTAGAAAAGACATACAGAGATAGTCTACCAGGGTTCCTGCAGGTCCTTAAAAAGTCTTGAATTTAACTTGCCTTATGCTGTAGGAACCCTGCCTACTTATCCGCTGGAATGATAGAATACATGTAGTAAAAATCAACATCCTGCTCTTCTTATTTCAATCCCTCCTAATCAATATAGAGCAGAATTCCCAGAGTGGGAAAAGCTGTTAGCAGGTTCCTTTGGGCCAGAGGGAGGTGTTTCACACTGCAGTTGGTGGCAGGGCTTCCTAATCTAAAAATGTATTTCTATGCAGCTCAGCTGTGTTACTTCCTGGATCCTGGATATTTTGCCAGATGGAAAGAGATTGAGCAGAAAACTATACTAACCGATTTAATAAGTTACTCGACCTGATTGATCAATTCACAATGGAAATTTGGTCTAAAGTAGCAAAACAATTAAAGCTGAAGAAAGAAATAAAAATATTAGGATGAGAAGGTCATGAGAAAGACCCAACATTTCAATATTGGATCCCCCCTTCAGTGTCCACCATATTGGATCAGTCCATTTGCTG